AACGCCGGACGCGCGAGGTGGGTGGCGGACGCCTGTCAGTCCCAGCTACTCGCGGAAAAGCTGAGGCACGGAGAATGGCCCGGTGAACCGAGTGAGCTGAGATCGGCACATGCCTCCAGCCTGGGCGACACGGGCGAGCTCCGTCTCAAACAAACAAACAAACAAACAAAAAAAGAACTCTTAATGTGGTGGCTCACACCTGTAAATTCAAGCACTTTGGGAGCCCAAGGCCGGCAAACACCTGAGGAGTCAAGGAATTACCAGCCTGGGAACGGTGTGAAACCCTGTCTTCCACTAAAAAATCAAAAAAAAAACGACGAACTAGCTGGGCATGGTGGCACGTGCCAGTAATCCCAGCTACTCGGGAGGCTGAGGCAAAATAATAGCTTGAACCTGGGAGGTGGAGGCTACAGTGAACTGAGATCATGCCACTGTGCTCCAGCCTGGGCAACAGAGTAAGTCCCTGTCTAAAAAGAAAAAAAAAAAGAACTCTTAACAATGCAGATGTTGAATCTTCTTTTCTATATATATTTTTTTAAGGTCTCACTCTATTGCCTAGGCTGTAGTGCAATGGCAGAATTGTAGCTGACTGTAGCCTCAAACTCCTGGGCTTAAGCAGTCCTCCCACCTAGGCCTCCCCTGTAGCTGGGTCTGCATGCCTACACCACCGTGCCCAGCTAATTTTTATATTTTTTTTGTATAGATGGGGCTTATTGTGATGCCCAGTCTGGCCTCAAACTCCTGGCCTCAAGTGATTCTCCCACCTCAGCCTCCTAAAGTGTTGGGATTACAAGCATGAGCCAACCTTGCCTGGCTTTTCATATCTGTGTTTTTTTTCTTTTTCCATTTATTTTGTATCCTGTACCCTGTCTTTCCTGTCCCTGTATTTAATCATGTTTTCTTTCTTTTCCTTTCTTTTTGTTTTTTGTTTTTTTGTTTTTTGTTTTTGAGATGGTCTGGCTATCACCCATGCTGGAGTGCAATGGTGCTGTCTTGGCTCACTGCAGCCGCCACTGGGACCACAGGTGCACACCACCATGCCTGGCCAATTTTTTGTAGAGACGAGGTTTTGCCACGTTGCCCAGGCTGCACTTGAACCCGTGGACTCAAGTCATCCACCCACTTTGTCCTCCCAAAGTGTTGCGATTACAAGCGTGAGCCACTGCACCTGGCCTATTTAGTTTTTTATTGTTTCTGGACTGGTATTTATCTCTATTATTTGTTTCTCTTCCAGTTCTTTCCTGAATTCGGTGATGAAAATCTCCTTACGATATATTCTCTATAGTGTTGCTTCTTTGAGTTTTTAAGTGAGAAAGAGTGTGTTATATTTCAGTATCTTTGAGACTATTAAAAACTATTTCTCTCAACTATTCACATTTCCTTGGCAAGTTCCTATTAATGTATTCCTCTTTATAATATCTCAGCATAATTTCCATGCTGATTCTTTGTGGCCAGCTATTTACTGAAGAGTGACACAAAGGATGAGTGGGAAAATGAGATGTGTATTCTATAACTCTACACGTTTTGTTTTGTTTCGTCAACAGTCTCACTCTGTTGCCCAGGCTGGAGCACGATGGCACAATCTTGGCTCACTACAGCCTCCATCTCCCAGGTTCAAGCAATTATCGTACCTCAGCCTCCTGAGTAGCTGGGGCTACAGGTACATACCACCGCACCTGGTAAATTTTTTTGTATTTTTAGTAGAGACGGGGTTTCTCCACGTTGGCCAGGCTGATCTCAAACTCCTGTCCTCGAGTGATCCACCCACCTCAGCCTCCCAAAGTGTTGGGATTACAGGCGTGAACCACCGCACCCAACCTATAACTTTACATCTTATTTGCCATCTTCTGTGAAATCTGTAGTTTCCTTTACTCTTGGGATGCATTCTCCCAGTTTTTGTCGTTCAGAGTTACTATGGTTTAAAACAAAGGCTTAAAATTGTAGGTATTTAACATTGTGCTCTAGTGATCATTGCTTTCCCTGCCTCCTCCTCCCTGTCTGTGGCATGGTAAGTAGATGGAAGATAGTAGACGTGATATTAAGCATGGTTTTACCTATTCTTTAATACCATCTGAATCTCTGAAGAGAAGTTCCCCAATTTTTCTGGAACCTGCCCATAGTTATTCTGACCACAGGATAATTTGCTAAGCTTTTTATTTTGAATAATTACTTTTAGAAAACATGTCTTAGCTGATACTCACTCAGGCATTTCACAGTAGCATTGGCAAGATGCTTTGGATTAAACTAAATCTGGTTGTATATGTGTATCTATATGTTGGGCTAGCAAATTGAAAACCTTCATGTTAGACCTAAGAATTAGGACAACGTATATTGTTGAGGCAAATGTGGTTAGATGTTCAGCTTACTTGTAATATTTTAAAATCAAAGTTTTTTTTTGTTTGTTTGTTTTTTTAATAGGTCCTAAAGGAAGCTAAAAAACCAATGGTGGTTTTAGGCAGTTCTGCACTCCAAAGAAATGATGGAGCAGCAATTCTTGCAGCTGTCTCTAGCATTGCACAAAAGATTCGGATGACTAGTGGTGTTACTGGCGATTGGAAAGTTATGAATATCCTTCATAGGTTTGTTGAGTAATTGCTTTATATACTATAAATTCAAGTAATTTTGTATATATGTATGTGTTCCTGATACACTGTTAAATTTAATTTACAAACAACATTTAGCAACATTATCCCAGTTACACATGTGAAATATAGACCTTTACTCTATGAAGAAGAGCCCAAGATGATAAGAAATATTAAAAATATTTGAAATAGAGTAAGTGTTGAGAAAAAAAGTGAAGTACTTTAAAAATTGTTATATTAGTTATACCTTGGTTCAAAAATTACAACAAGTTCTTTAATTAAATGATAAAAATGTAAGCTAATATGAGAATTCAGCTGAAGGATTTCTCTTTTTTTTCTTTTTAATTATTTGTTTTTTTGTTTTGAGACAGGGTCTCAGTGCAGTGGCGTATTCATAGTCCACTGTAGCCCTGACTTCCTGAGTTCCAGTGATCCTCCCACCCCTGCCTCCCAAGTATTAAATGGCTAAAACTACAGGTGCATGCTGCACACCCAGCTAATTTTTTGTTTTTGTAGAGATGAGGTCTCACTATGTTGCCTAGGTTGATCTCAAACTCCTGGGCTCAGGCGCTCCTTCCGCCTCAGCCTCCCAAACTGCTGGGATTATAAGCGTGAGGCACTGTACCTGGCCTTTATTTCTAACCACATCAATAATGCAGGTTTAATTTAGGTAAGTTGAAAAGAGACAAACGTGCAGAAATGGAGCTGATCCTTATTCTACAATGTGTAGATAATTATTATTGCTATTTTCATTCATTTTCTTCTAGTTTTTCTTTTTACCCTATGTAATATTTTATTTTATTTTTTTGAGACCAGAGTCTCACTCGGTTGCCCAGGCTGAAGTACAGTGTACAATCTTGGCTCACTGCAGCCTCCACCTCCCAGGTTCAAGTGATACGTCTGCCTCAGCCTCCCAAGTAGCTGGGATTATTGGCATGTGCCACCACACCTGGCTAATTTTTTTATTTTTTTATTATTATTATTATTAGTATTAGTATTATTTTTGAGATGGAGTATTGCTCTGTCGCCCAGGCTGGAATGCAATGGCACGATCTCGGCTTACTGCAGCCTCCACCTCCCAAGTTCAAGCAATTCTCCTGCCTCAGCCTCCTGAGTATCTGGGACTATAGGCACGTGCCACTATGCCAGGCTAATTTTTTGTATTTTTAATAGAGACGGGGTTTCACCATGTTCGCCAGGCTGGTCTCAAACTCCTGACCTCAGGTGATCGCCCCCACCTCGGCCTCTCAAAGTGCTAGGATTACAGATATGAGCCACTGTGCCTAGCAGCTATGTAATATTTTTTAGTTACATAGGTGAAATTATACTGTGGATACAATTTTGTACCCTGGTTTTAATAGGTTTTCGTTGCCAAATAAGAATTTCCTACTATGGTCAGAAGTTTTTTTCTAGAAATTGTTTGTAAATAAAAAACTATAATAGCTGATTGATATCATGAATATACTATAAAATTTTTTAGCCATTTTCTTCTTTTTAACATGTATGTTGATGGTAGTTTTTAACTTCTTAGATAATACAGTGATACACAGATACATTTGCACTTGAAATTATCTTCGTAGGAAATATTTCTAGAAGTAAAACTGTTGGGGCACACAGGATAACCATTCCTGAGCCTTTCAAAGCATGCTTCCAACTTGTTTTAGGTCTTCAGAATGGCTACTATTTCTAGATAGTTAACAAATAGCAAGCTATACCAAAACAACAATTCTGCTATTCAAAGTATATTTATTCTAGACCTCCTCTTTAAAAAATTATTTTCTGCTTATAAGAGTAATGTATATCATAGAAAAAATTTCCGTAAGGTTTTGGTTTTCTCATTATGGTTTTCTCTGAATTATAGTTTAATGAGTGGTTTTTCAATTTCTCCCTTTTGATTTTTGAAATCATCTGATTTTTCTCTTATGAATATGTGTGGCTTATCATGTTTTATGTCTTACTGTATTGAATAGGAATCAGACTTAAAGCAATTACAGTTGGCATAAAATTTCTAGAATTATTTCATTCAATGCTATGTCATGGAGAGACAGAGTGTCCTAAGAATCTGACATTTCTTTGGTTGCCATTTGCAAAACAGTAAAAGACTGCTGTTTCTGGTTTTGGCATCTATTTTAAATGGGTAAAAGTGGGATTTTTTGGCCAGGTGTGGTGGCTCATGCCTGTAATCCCAGCACTTTGGGAGGCCAAGGTGG